TCAATTCGATCTCTCTTCGCTCCTTCCCTCCATTGAATTTTCCCAGCGTTGTTTACCAAAATGTCAACGTCATCGCCCCATTACGTTTAATTCTTGTTTGCGTTTGTCCCAAGCGCAGCTTGCGAGTTTCGCGCGAGCTGCCTGTTTGCCCGATTAAATAAACAAAATCAAAGTATGAACACTGGCAACTTCTAATTGGACGTTTCAAAACACACGAACTTGCAGGCGGTCGTCATCTACATCTGATATATCACGAACGTGTGCCAATAGACTGCTGACGAATTTCTTTGCCGGCTAGCTGACACCTGAATTCGCTGAAAATGGAGAAGGCTTTCACCTTCTTATCGCGACAAAGGGAGAGCGGAACAGAGGAGGTAAAAACGGATACGAGTAAAAGGAAAACGAGACGTAAAGCAAATGGGACGAATATGCACTGCGACAGACAGACTTTGAAGAAATAGCTAAATCCGTAGTAAATTAGAGATTTTCACTTAATCCGATTTTCCCTGTGAACGAACTATTAACGATGTCTCGCAAATTTTCACTGCCTCGACTGTCTTTCAAGTTTTTCCAACTTTTTTAATGAAATTCGTTCGATCCAGTATTACCCAGTGCAAGAAGTTATTAGACACGTGTGACGAAAGTTCATGGCCGTGTGTCCTACTCCACGCGACAGCGTTAAATATCATCGTGCTCGAGATAAGTCGACAGTGCACCATCGACTTTTGAAATTGGCTGATCCACCGTGATGCGTAAGTATGCTATGATCGTACAATCGCGAGGTGTTCAGATCCCAGGAAATTAGTTATGCTTGAAAATTTCGCGTATGAACCGGACGCTGAGAAATACGTATCCAACTAGCGATTTTCTACTGCTGATTAGTCGAAAGTTCTATAACAGCCGTTTCAAATAGCCGTCTGCCAGTGCGAACAACTTTTTCGACATTAACGAGACCGCTGGAAAGCGATTATCCATATATAGACATTCTGATATGTTACCACGAATGGTTTCATTGTAATTAATTGTCCTTTTACTCTCTTAAGAATTAATTATCCTTATTAAAGGCTTGGTGCAGTTTCAACTGACCGGATATAACGAACAATGACAATTATACTTTAATTCCTGCACAAACCAACGAGAGAAATTCTAAAATTGCCAAGAAGGACTTTTAATCCTTCGAGAATACCTGCCTTCAAAGTGCGAGGACTGCCAAAGCAAACGTAACGATCGATTCGAAATTCATTATGAAAGTTCCTGAAGTCTGTTATACTTTCTATGATTTTCCACGATTTCCCGTAAGTAAATAAACAAACGATGCGATATATAAGTCATCGACGATTCTAATGTTGAAATTCACTGGGACACTCCACTTTGTTCTTACATACAAAGACTTACGTGTTTTGTCGATTGTTCTTGGCCGTCGTGTGTAGGAATTCGGTTGTAAAAGGCATTTTGAAGCACGTACAAATCGCACAGTTCTATCTAAACATGTACATGTTGTTTAAGAAAGATCTTACTAGTGACTGCCATGATGCGGATTACTGCTGTTTTATACAGATACCCGATGACATTTTAAAAAAACGCGAGCAATATGTCGACCAATTATTTTAGACGTTTACTTACGCTCCCTCCAATCCTCATTAAGATCGGGCAGTCAGGGACTCGCTGGGAGGTAGGGGCACGCGATGATAACCCATTACGATCTAAATGCTCCAATTTCCACCACTGCTCGTACAATTTGTTATTTATCCCACATGACAATAGCAAGAATTGCGATATTTTCGGTCGTAACTGTCAGCAACGCCTTTACCAACATACCGTTGATAAATCTTCATCCCACATAAACTCGTAATATATATCTAATCTCGAAAGGAGACAATAAAGCTTCTCTTAGGAGGCAACAGATTTTGACGGTCCTTGTAGACCGTGGTGACTGGAATGATCAACTAAATCTTCCCGTCCGTTCATGTTCACATGATCGCACGATAATTGGTGACGATTAAGGTCAACGAGACTAGGTTCTTCGATCGTGATAGATTTGTCAGCTGTGTCCTCGCGAAACTCGTGCATCTTGCTCGTGCAATGACCGAGAAGTTGATATTCTCTCGATAACCGATACTCCGTGCAGGAGCATTTAGATTTATTTCTCCATTTTTGTCCACGTGACTCGAACCCATCGCTAATTCCGTAAAAATAAGAAAATCGTATAATCGAACGTATAATCGGATTTCCGTGCTTATGTCCGATACGATAATCGATAATAGAACATGGTCGCGGATCTAAAGCTTCTATTTGTCCACCGAATCTCTGATAACTTTCTCGGTATCTTTCACGTTTATCATCAGCTAATAAAAAGATAAATGTGTCTCAAAAACACTGCGACTCTAAGAAATAGTGTACACAGAGGCAGAAAATAATTAACTACTCGCAGATACATTGGAACAGGTCTGCAGTCGTGCAACTGCGTTTTAGAAAGAAGAACGCGACACGAGCGTATGACCAAACTGTTGCTGGCGTACACCTCGAATTTATCCGAATATTAATTACGGGCCAGTCGTGTTTCCCACTTGAGCGTGTCGTATAGAGGAATCCCATAGCAGATTTACGTCCAGGCGATGACACGTGCGCCAATTTGCGAGGATACGAATTTTGGCTGGCTCCTACTGCCCCGTGTAATGAGCCAATTACGGCCAGTTACCAGACCTCGTGCACGATCCAGCCGAAATTTAACGATCCTTCTCAAGTTATACGTGCTCTCACTTTTGAAAAGTCTTCTAGCGCTCGTTTTCAAGTGCACTTTATATTATGCGGTAACTTAAGCGTATCGTTCGAATAGAAAAGGAAACAATTCTTGCTGGACACCGCAGCGTTTCCTTTGGAACTTTCCACGCATAAATAATAACGTTTATGCCAGGATTATGCAAGTGTAGAAGTAAAAGCGATTCGATCTCATATATCAGGTTTACGATCATGGTCATTGCGATATCGATAATCGGTCAACGCGAAAGACGATATGCAGACGTCCAAGAATTTATATTGATCGCGTGTAAAGAGATATAGGAATATTGTTAAACACGGATTAGAAAAATTCCAGCATCCGCAAATTAACATGGAGAAAATAGATTATCCCAGATCAACTATCTTATCGCCATTGATTGTCGACGATTGCAGATAAATAACAAGATACAGCCGAGTATCGCATATATATCGTATCTCCTTTGGCACGTTTTTGCATTTCTCTGCTTCGATAATGCGGAGACACGTTTCTCTAGAAATATTTCCCCGTTACACTAAGTTCTCGTAATAGAATAATTTAAAATAATTTCGATGGAAAGTTATTAGCAGTATCCTACCAGCCAATATAGTCATATTTGTCAGAGAAATTAATAAGATTTAAATACGAAGCTTAAATAAAATTTTCGTGTAATTTCTTTGTACTTTTTGCGCTTTTCTATATCCCGGTATATATGATATACATTAGCAGAATAAAAAGAATACTCGGATCTCAACTTTTTCCTCCATTATCGTTTCGTCAAGCGCGTGCAATTTTTCCCATCACCTCCCACGACTAAATTCTCCAAACAATTTTGAAAACGATCAAGAACGTCTGAATTTCTCTTTCCACTCCTATTCGCGTTCGTTATTTATGCTGTATATTCAGCGACGTATCAAAACGAAACACGGTGCAATTTACAAAATGAAAAATGCACGTGAGCGCGGCAGCGAATCGAAAAGGGTAAATCGAGCCGCAACTTGCAAATTACGGTTCCAACATGGTCAGAGGGTGGGGGGATGAAACGGGGGGTCAAAATACGCGCGGCCAACACAGCCTCGAATAGACTGTAAATTCAGTTTTCACCGGTCTTTTCCCCCGTGAGTCGGAAGCTACTTTGCGATGCAACGAGTAATGCATAATTTCGCTGATCGTCCACAAAGAACGTCAGCCCTTTGGTCACAAACAAATTTTCGGCTCGGCCACGGACAGATTTTCAACGTCGTCAAACTTTTCTAATTGCAGTCGAAGAACAGCTGAAGAATGAAACGGAAAAGGAAGAGATTGCAAACGGTAGTGAGCAACGCGTATGCTAAATACCGACGCGAACAGCGGCTAGAATAATGCGCCGAATTTGAATTTGTTTACACGCGATATTATAATCGAATCGGATCGATGTCAAATAAACTAAACAGAATCATGTAATTAACGCGTTCGCCGTGGATACGAATCCTGTTTGCTTTTAGGCGTCGTTCAACGCGCAACAGTTAATGAATCAACCCGGTACACAGGTGCTTATTAACCGAGAATAGTGCTCCGATTACTGTACAACGTTTCGCTATTCTTCCCGAACAATGTCGAACAAATTTCATCGCGCGTCGATAAAAACCGATGACAGATAAATCGTGATCCAGATAACGAGTCTACCACGATCTCTTAACGATTAGCACTAGTACTTGTACGTGACTCGAAATGGAAAGTAAAAATAACAAGAATTTAAAGTTATTTTGAATCTCGAGTCTTTTTAAATTTTTCACTCGCGCACTTGTCATTTATTCGCAGTTTTGCCGTGAAACGTATCGAAATGTCGCCCGTGCTTCCTTTTCCAGATTTCTTCCGCGCGTTACTTCAACAAACTCTGAGAAACGTCAGAAGCTTACTCGCAAACATTCGAAGTATACCAAACGACGATGATGTCCAAGCGTTCGATACGCTTGCACAAGACGCAACGAGACTCGAATACTCGTTATCGTCTTACGATAATATTGTGTAAACCTGTACGATCGTAGTATCGTAAACATAACAATTTTGCAACATCGGAGAAGAGGAAAACTATTCTATTACTTATCTAGCATATCAGAAAGTGCACAATTTATGTATAGCAACTTTTCTGATACCAGCGTCATTATTATGTGTCCTTTAATTATGACGCGCAATTAGAAAACATGTAAATAAGCTTCTCTTTCTCGCCGCAAATATCTGATGCAAATAAATAATTTCGAGAGCCTGTGCCGACGAGCCTGTCCAATTAGGAAGCCTCGTGTAAAACTGTGGGTATGCTTAAAAAAGTTGAACGATGGGAGAATGTTTTCGTTTAATAGCCAAAGTTGACTTTCGATACAAGATTTGTGTATTATTGCCTTAATCTCGTTGGAAGATAATTATAAAACACAACGTTACAAAATTTTCCGACCCCTCGTGGGTGACCAGACTGATCCGCTGGGGTCCTGATTTATCACTGACCTCTAGTAAATTATAATATAATGGGAGGGAAATCCAAAATGTAATCTATCGTCAATATAACGCGAATCGCGTTGAAATAACTATCATTTGTCAGACGAAGAAATTGCTTCGATAATAGCGGAAGCGAAACTTTCTGCTACCCAAACTTGAATAATGATATCGAACAATGTTATATCTTATCTGATCACCAACTAAATTTTTAATATTCCACTGTTGAATTAAGAAATTGAATTTAGAACGATTAAATGTAGAGATTTAATAAATAATAGCTTGTCCGTAGTTTATACTGAGAAATGCTGTAAAATGCTTGCTATTTCTTCAGGAAGTACGGGGATAAGGGTATCCTAACTACTTCCATTCAATAAGTAACTATGGAAAAGAACATGACAAATTAAAATGTTGACTATGATAATTTTGGAAAACAAAACGAATAATAATCGCCAGGTACAACCCTTGTCTAACTCTGAACGAGTACTATGTATATGGTATTATAATTATCTTCTTTTAATAAATTTTGTTTAGCGCCATTGCGTTCAATAAACGATTTATCAAATTGATAATGAGCAGCTGGTGGTATATCTTGGTATTGATACAATATTGGTAATTGACACTGTTTTCCAAAGATTATTCTTCGAAAATAGCATCAAGTTAAAGATCTTCGTATTAAACTTAACGTACGTACTTCGAGTTTCGTTCGGAGATTCTGAATAATCTTTCTGGACATTTTTAGGTTGCAGAATATTCTAGAACTTAAAGTAGTTTCAAGAAGTGGAATTAATAAAGTACAGAATTTAACATGGTATTATATAAATTTATAGATTCTTTATCTATTTTTGCCATAAATAATCAAAAGACTTGAGGTTTTAAATGATTAAATATTTATTGTTCAATTTCAATTTCAGTATGATTTCATCATACCTTAATGAAGAATTTCTTAATAAACTAATAAAGTTATTAGATGTAAATAAAACTGTGAAAATAATTAATTATTATAAAATATCATAATTGAAATGATCTTAGATTTAAATAAAAATCCTAAATATCTAAATTTCTATTTTTAAAACCTTTGTTACTTTGATACTTCTGCGCTATTGAAGCCTCCAGTCTGTCGTGATTAATAAGAATGTTAGCTCCATCTGTCGGTATATTGTAGTATTCAAGTGCGTAGGCACGTCAATAAATTAGATAACTTCTTACGTATCTACAGCGTCTTTGTAAGTTAATTACGAATATTGACATTTAGCTGTTGCGGGAGTAGCTGTTGCACGTTTTAGCTTCTTATAAAATATAAAGAATACCGTTGTATTTAAAATATCTCCATATTATTTGCACAGTATGCATGAAATTGACAAGTAATGTTAGAGTAATTTATAACAATGTTCCTCTGGACGATATTTTGAAGTTTATTATACAAACTCATATTGAACAGTGAACGATTTTACGACATAAATATCGCGGAAACTCTCCAACATCACATTTAAAGTATACACTCGGTGAAGCAAATAGTGCAAATTCTTTTCAAACTATATAAATAATAATGTCAACTCTGGAAGATAAAATTTTAGGCGAAAAATTACACTATTATTGTAGTAGTTCCAGTGAAGATGAAGAAAATGATTCCGCAGACTCTGATAAAGAGTCAGAGAATGAAAAATATTCGCAAATAATTACAGACTCCATAGAACCATCATTTTCAGAATGGGATGGCACATCCAGCAACACAGGGCCAAAGGGTGTCATAAAAGTAAAATTGTGATTGAAATATTTAATATAAGTTTGTAACTATAATGTATATGTCAATATATTTTAAACATGTTTCAAGGATTGGCAACGTTACAAGCAACTGCAAGCAGAAAAGAGACAAGAACAAGAGAGTGAAAGACTTCAGTTAATAAAGAAACTCAGTCTAACGTGTCGTAGTTCCTTAGATGAAGAGAAAGAGAAAATTATGCAAACAGATCCTGATCTTGCTGAATTATTAACAGATGAATTTCTTTTAGAATATCAGAAACAAAGGATGAAAGAAATGCTTACAAGGACTGAAAAACTTCGTTTTGGTAGAGTAATTAATTTGGAAACAGCAGATCAATTTTTAGAAGCAATTGACAATGAAGATAAATCAGTGACAATTGTTGTTCACATTTATGAAAATAATGTCCCTGGCTGTGAAGCAATGAATGGTTCTTTAATATCTGTTGCAGAGGATTATCAATTTGTGAAATTTTGTAAAATTTTAGGTTTGCTCTCAAAATATTTCTTTGCTTCCATATCATTTAAATGGCAATATATAGCATTAATTTTATTACAGGTTCAGTAGCTGGACTCAGTAAACATTTCAAAAGAGAAGGAGTTCCAGCTTTGTTAGTTTATAAAGCTGGTCAAGTGATAGGAAATTTTGTTCATGTAACAGATTATTTAGGAGTAGATTTTTATGCCTCTGATGTTGAAGCCTTTTTAATTGAACATGGAATGCTTAATGATAAAAATTGTGTACCTGCTATCACCTCACATAATGAACATACATTATCAGACAGTGAATAAATGAAGCAAATAAATGTTCTTACTAATTCTGAATATATTCTTTCTAATATAAGTAAAACATTATTAATAATTCTTGTTTATCCAATTCAAAATAACATGAAGAATTATAATAAACATTATTTAAATGTAATAGTAATGAAAATGTCTGAGGATACTTTTTAAGGGTAGTAATAAATTTATATGTATGTGATAAAAAATGTATAAACAATAGAAATATTTACATTCATTCTCTTACAAGTTATAAATTTATATACAAATATGTTAAAAAAGATTCATTTCTTTCTTAAAGTTTTTCCAATAGTTGTTTTTTCTTTTCAATAGCTTTGCAAAAATGTAGATAAGTTTTTAAGACATCATCATATTCTGTATTTTGTAACTGCTCATATTGTTTCTTTAAATTCTCCTTCTCTTTGATTTCACTTATCATTATAAATGATTTTTTGTCTACAGCTGTATTTAATGCTCTATATGCATCAATTGTTATTGGAGTTTCCTTGTACATCTTTATAATACATGACAATTTTGCAATTTTTGCTTGTGCTTCTGCAACTTGTGCCTGCAGTAATATACGTTCTGCTTTCTCTAAATAAATTTGACTTACATCTTTGTATTTCAATTTATTCCATTTGTTCAACAAAGTCTTATACTTCATAATATTTGTTTCATATTGAGTACATAATTCTTCAATCTTATCTTTCCATTGAAATATTTGCATTTCATGAGATTCAAATATCTTTTTACGCATATTGCAATCAGTTGATCTTAGAATTTCCTTTATATTTCCACCCAACTGTTCATATCTGAAATATAACAAAACTATGAAATATACTTTTTTGTTCCTTTATATGTAATAAATTTTAAATATTATCCAACCTTAATATAAATTCATGTATTCTTTCTCGTAACAATGTTTCTACATGATATTTAACGTCTAACATCTCTTCATAACTGAGATCATTATTCGGAATATCTGTGATTCCTAAAATACTTAAATCTTTCTCCATATTTTTTAATGTAGAAGATAAAGACATATATTTATTAAGCTCATGAATTAGAAGTAATCCCTTTAATTTGGCAACAACGTCATCAGATAATGTTTCCTTTATGTTCATTGATGCTTCCTTTATACATTTCAAAATTATTTTACATTTTAAATGTTCTCCTATGCTATCCTCACACGAGCTAAGACATTTTACAACTTTCTCTAAATGGTTAGATGTATGATATGTAATATTTTTACTTGTATTAAAAGTCAAGCTACATTGTTGTTCAAATAAATTTTGCAATGAATCTACTCTACCCAATATTCGACTACAATTCGTGCGAGAAATTCTTGAAATACTAGTTATATCTAAAAATAAATAAAATTAGTCATGTCATATCACGAATTTTATAAATTTATATTATATTTATTTATAGATATTCTTAATTCAACAAATAGTCAATAACTTACATACCCGAAATCTGACTTAAATCGCTAAAACTATTCATGCTGTCAATTTTAACTAATTTTTAACAAATTTAACTGATTATTAAAACTGTTTTCACAATTTATTCGAATTCAAACGGTTGGAGAAATGAAATGAAATGTGAGAAGAGTGTGTACTCATATTTTTATAAGTTCTCTATATAACGATTTTATCAAAATAATTTTCATACAATATTAATATAAAATGATATTTATTTAATTCCTTAATATTAAATAATATTTTAATATAATTTTATTTTAATGCAGTTCTATGTGGCTATACATTTATATGTATATGTATATGCATATGTATATGTACATACGTATACGCATGAGGAAGTTGCACTGATTGGATAAAAGGATTCGAGGAACGACAGATAAATAGTGTAAAAGTTTACATCTACAGTAGTGCACTCATAGCTGTAGGCGGTGTTACTGGGAATCGTTGTGTTTAACCTAAAAAATGGCGGCTAATATTAGTGGAGTTTTCACTGAAAAGTTACAAAATGCAATACTTCAAAGTAAAATACTCATTGTAGGTGCTGGTGGAATTGGATGTGAAATATTAAAAAATCTTGTTATGACAGGATTCACCAATATTGAAATTGTATGTACGCTAACTTTTGTCAGAGAATTTTGATAAATCTCTAACCTATGTACTTTTCCCTCCTTTATTGTTATCCATTGTTACCTAAAATTTAAAACCGGCATGTATATTGTTGTAGTCTGTTATACTAATATCTATAAAATTATGACTCTATTATCAAATATATTTGAAATTAAATCGTTATTATTTCAATATGCAGTAACTATAATTTATTTTTAAAGATCTAAATAAATGTGTCATTTTCAGATTGATTTAGATACAATTGATGTTAGTAATTTAAACAGACAATTTTTATTTCAAAAGAAACATGTGGGGAAATCTAAAGCTGATGTTGCAAAAGAGACAGCATTAACATTTAATCCTGATGCAAAAATAGTTCATTATCATGACAGTATTACAAAGTATGTACTTTTGTATTTTTACTATAATATTATATATTATAATTAATTATGTATCTTCATTTCCATAGTTCTGATTATGGAGTGTCATTTTTTAAAAAATTTACATTAGTTATGAATGCACTTGATAATAGAGCAGCTAGAAATCATGTAAATAGAATGTGTTTAGCAGCAGATGTACCATTAATTGAGTCTGGTACAGCTGGTTATGAAGGTCAAGTAGAACTTATAAAGAAAGGATTAAGTCAATGTTATGAATGTACACCAAAAGCTACACAGAAAACTTTCCCTGGTTGTACAATTCGTAATACACCTAGTGAACCAATTCATTGCATAGTATGGGCAAAACATTTGTTTAAGTAAGTTTTTAAATTAATATTTCTGTATAAAAAGCATATCAAATAAAAAGTATTTAAATTTTATATAGTCAGTTATTTGGTGAAGAAGATCCTGATCAAGATGTGTCTCCAGATACTGCTGATCCAGAAGCAGCAGGTAATAATAATATTTAAACTTATTATAAAATATCTAAGTGTACAAATATATACACTAGAATTATATATTATAGACTCTGCAGGTCAAGGTGCTCTAAATTCAGAATCAAATGAAAAGGGAAATGTTGATAGAATATCAACTAGAATTTGGGCACAATCGTGTAATTATGATCCAGAAAAATTATTTACAAAATTTTTTCATGACGATATAAAATATTTACTAAGTATGGATAATTTGTGGAAGAAAAGAAGATCACCTACTCCTTTATGTTGGAAAGAACTACCAGATGGAGGTTTGTATAGTAATTGTTTAATATTTCTGTTCTATTACAGATAGCTATATTTTGTTAAAATATTTTATAATGTAGTACCAGGATGTAGTAAAGAAATAAATGAACCTGGCTTAAAAGATCAACAACGGTGGAGTATTTCCAAATGTGGAACAATATTTGCTGAATCAGTCAAAAATTTAAGCAATATATTGAAAACTTCAGAAGAAAAGTTATCAAATAATCATCTAATTTGGGATAAAGATGATCAATATTCAATGGATTTTGTTGCTGCATGTACCAATATAAGAGCTTATATTTTTGGTATACCACAAAAAACAAGGTTTGATATAAAATGTAAGAGAACAGACATTAATTATAACATTATAAAGAAATAAAAATATGTTCTTTAATTTTAATAATATCTTATAGCAATGGCAGGAAATATAATTCCTGCAATCGCAACTACAAATGCAATAGTTGCTGGCCTAGTTGTGCTGCATGCATTCCGTATTCTTGAAAATAATTTAAAAGCGTGTAAATCGGTATATTTACGTTCGAAAATGAATCATCGCAATCAATTACTGGTACCAGAGAAAAATGTTAATCCACCAAATCCAAAATGTTATGTATGTGCACCTACACCACAAGCCATACTAGCAATTGATACATCCAAAACAACAATCAAAGAATTAGACGAAGTAGTATTAAAAAATAGATTAAACATGATTGCCCCAGATGTTATGATAGATGGTACTGGTAATGTTGTTATCAGCAGCGAGGAAGGAGAAACTGAAGAGAATAATGATAAAATTTTGGAAGAATTAGGAATTAAAGATGGTACTATTCTTAAGGTTGATGATTTTCAACAAAATTATTCATTAACTGTAACCATAGTCTATAGAGAACGGCCAAGTTTAAAAGATGATAGTCCTGATTTCCTTATCCTTGCTGATGAGAAAGATCTTAGACCAAAAGATGATAATGATTTGATAAAACCATCTACTTCAAATGGTCAGGTAAGAAGATCAGTATACGAATATATTAGTAATCAAAAGTTCAAAGATGTATACAGACTAAAAATTTTATTCAGGTGGAATCATCCGATGATAATGTAATGGTTGTGGAGACTGAAATTGTTTCATCAGTTATGACAAAGAAACGTAAAACCGAATCTCCTAAGGAATCTATATCTTCAAAGAAACGAAAATTAGATATAGACACAGATGATGATATTTCTATTATCGAAAATGATACAAATGATAATAGTGGTAATACAAAATCAAATTCTAAAATACATAAGAATTCAGATGACGATGATTGTTTAATTGTACATGATGATATGCAAACTGCTGCAACTTTGCAGTGAGTGAATTAAATATACAAAAATATTTCATAATAAAATAAAAATTTTTAATTTAAAAATTAGTATACTGATCAACTAAATTTATATAAAAATGTATGTTTGTACAAAAGATGTACTTACATATCGATTCCAGTATTTGTTTTGTACACTTCGTTTTACGATATAAATTTCCATATAACTTCATTAATACAATTTATAAATAAAAAAATGATTGTTAGTTAATGAGTTCATACTACACATGATAATAAATTGGAAAAGAATGACGTATGTGTAATGATCTTACAAAATTTTTTTTTAATAGAATGTTGTAATTTTTACAAATACTTATAAAGATACATAGCGTTGTGTTTATAGTACATTATTTCATAGATAGTTGCTATGAAATACAAATTTATACAAAAAAAGGAAAAAAGAAATAAATACATTTTTCTTATAACAAAATATATTTTTCTATTAGATTAAGATTGTCCAAAGTTTTTATTTGCACAATTTATATATCGATTAACATCATAATTATACATTTCAAAATCAATCTTATATTTGTTGTATAATTTTAAAGCTAACTCTTGTGTCAGATTTGCAAAATATTTACATGTAATATCAATATTTGTGTACCCACCCCGTGTTTCTTCTAATTTAGGAAAATATACCTTATTTTTATCCAGACCAAATTTAGAAAACACGTAATTAATTTGACCATATGTGTAATCATCTAACTTTAGAACATAATTATATCGTATATTACATACAGCACAATGTGTGTAATATTGAGACCAATGAACATCATCTTCTTCAGGATTTTGTAAAAGCCATTCCAAAAACTCTTTAAATGTTGGTATTATTTTTAATCTATATAAAAGGAGAAACATATATTAAAAAGCTATTAATAACAAAGGAAAAACATTTTTGTTTCTTTATAACTATTGTACCTTTTATCAGGTGTGAATACTTTCTCATGAAAATTACCAGTTGTTGTATTCGAATGAAACAATTCAGGCCTTGTAAAACGAAATATCTTTTCTGTATAGATCCAAGCTTGTGCAGTATATTTTGAATTATCTGCTATTCGATCCCTAAAAAGTTGAAATATTGAAAAATATAACTTTTCTTAATAGTTTAAATGTATCTTTAATATTGAAAAATATTACCTGTATGATGAGACAAGCCTGTGGAAAGGATGTCGTACCACTAAAAGCTTAAATATTTTTGTATTATGTGATACATGTTGTACTTCTTTTAATGTTTTTGGTGTTAAAATATCAACTTCTCTGCAAATAATTTACAAGATAAAGTATTAGCTATTTAAATAAATACCTAAATACCTATAATAGGTTTAAATACCTATAATAATTCCGCGTGGGTGTACGATTTTTCATGTCTGCAAATAATTTTGTAAAACTTGTTGATGCTACTTTTCGAATCCAACAATACATTGACTTATGTTGGGAATTATACAGAAAATGCCTTTTTATTAAGGGAGTTTTTAAATTGTATTTCATACATACATTTGAAATTTGTTGCAGTATTGTTACACTTTCCTATATAAAAATAAAAATGTATCAGCGCCGTATATGTATATATATATAAATTTCATATATATTATTTCATATATTACATTGAAACAAGCGATTTACTTACCTGTAAGTTAATTGGTTCTCCATTCATTTCATCACGTTTCAAAAATTCTATCTCTAAATTAATTGGTTTTTTAACTGACTGAGTAACTCCAAAACATTCTTGTTTTGTCACATTATTTGAAAAAAACATTGAAATTTGATACTGTGTTAAGTAGAAACTGTGTTTTATTTCTAATAAAAAAAGACAAATTCCAATGTACAAAATAACGCACAATATACATTGAAAAAATCGTCCTTTAACTGACATAATTAAAACTGAAATATGCATTCTGACAATCAACTGACAAGATTAAAACATCCGTTCATGAATTCTGTGGAAGTGGAATAAAAGATAAAATTTATCTCTTTTCCATTATTTTCTAATTTCCCATAACGACGAGAAAAGAATTCATCGTTATGTTTGTTGAAAAGGCGAAAAATTGACAAAACAAATTTCCTTTTTTATATCTTTACTACGAAATAACGCCGAAAACATTATATAAATCAACGACCTCAGTATATGTATTCATAATATTAGGCTGTATCTTTAACTAATAATAATACTCTAATAATTATATGTAATTTATGTGTAATATGAACTATTAGTTATGAACAAAATATTCTCTGCAATTGTTTACTTTTACAAATTTTCATGTGTGAAAACTCTGATTATTATTAAACAGTTTATTTGTTTTAATCAATATAAAGTATTGCAAAGGTAAATTTTTATTAAGGCAGTGGTCTGTGTTAGAATTAATTTACCCATGAACTGATGCAAAAACAAGTACTGTTTATCATATTTAGGTTGATTCACAATCCAATTTTTCATTTATAAAAATTTCCAAGTACATATATAAATTACAAAAGTATATAATTAGTACCTAAATTAAATATAATAAAAAAGTTAGAAAATAAATGAAATATAGTAAATCAGAGAATATCACTTATTTTTTTATTGGTACTAAATGCATACAACACAATCTGATGAATTGTGAATCAATTTTACAATTTCTTTATTATATATCATTATATAAAACAAAAAATTAAGTAAATTATTTTCACAATTTCATTAATTTTAGTACAAAGCATTCTAATATTTTTTAAAAAATAATTTGAAGGAAAAAATATATATATATATACATATATATAGACGCGCGCGCGTGTGTGTATATATACATATATACTTAAGTTTATATATACATATAAACTTAAAATTATTTTGATCTGAATTGACAATACAAATAATCATATGATGATTAAACATTTACTATTGCAGGATTATAAATGTTACGATATCTTGAAAGCCCTTACAATATGTATGAATGAAAAAATGAAAGAATAGATGATGAAGAAAATATCCAAATTTCTTATCTACGGTCCCTATATCTATGGTGATGATCACGAGATGATCGGTGATCACTATGTCGACTATGCCGACTAGCTGTTCTCCATAAGAATTCATCTACACTTCTTTCGTAACTACGTTTTTCAAGTGCAGAAGCTGCTGCACTGTAATCAGGTGGTAACGGTAAACCATCGTAGTATCTGGGTGGTGGTGGCGGTGGAGGTAAAGAATCATAGGGATGAGGTACAGCATAAGGAGGTAGAGGAGGCAATTGATGTTGCATAGTACGCATATAATCTGCAACATATGCTTCTGCTGCAGCAGCTACACCCAATCCTGGACTACCATATCCTCTATAAAATTTATAATTATTAAAAAAATGATGCATTCAAATTTATAATAACGACATGTGTTGAAACAGAAACGTACTTAGAATAAGGAGAATCGCTTCGATTAAACCATGTAGCATACCGATGATGATGATGATCTCTTGATCCCCGATGTTCATTACCACCTAAATGAGATCCTCTAGCTAATGAAGCTAGACGAGACCGTGAAGTTAGAAATAGTCTACGTCCTCTGCCACCTCTCGAGCGTAAAAATCTTGGACTACTGTTAACTGGTCTATTATCCCGATATGAACGAGACTTCATAATATGTTTTGCTGCTTCCTTAGATTTCCTTAAAATTGGAGTCATTTCAATTCCTGAAAGATTTATCATATATTGTAAAATACATAATTCTTTTTATTTATGAAAAATAAAGATGTATATTTTAATGTACCTTCATCTTCTGGAAATAATCTGCATAATTCTTCTGCAACTCTCGGTTCTATCTCTTGTCCATCACGTCCGATTTTCACCTGTTTACCATCATTCCATGGATTATATAAATGTAATGTTGCTGTGAATGGTAATTCTTTTCTACATATCCAATCAACTTTAAATACACCTCCCAAAGCTTTTGCAGATAGTCCAGGTGGTAACACCTAAAATTAATATACACTTCCTTCCTAATAATGTGTGATATAATCTTTAAAGTTATATTTGTTTAATTAAGTATACAAACCCATGAAATTGGCGCTCCATCTCTTCTAGACTCTGTACTTAACCTTGCAAAACCAGCAAACTTTCCTGATTCCTTTACAGAAAAAACAAGCAATACATTTCTTGACTCTCGATATGCTTGGTTTAAATTGGCTTCATTTTGAGGTAATGTACTCCATACTCCTTTAGCCTTTGATAGTGTAACATTCTCAGCATTGTTTGATTTGATGATGAAAAATCTGATAAAAGAAACTTTAAGACATGTTCTTGGCTCATTTGTATTAACTTATCTAAACATTTATAAGTAAATTTGGACAATGCTAATTCACAATTATATAAATATACAAAAAATAAAAAAAGTACAGTTAACAAACAAAAACGGTTGTATCTTAAAAAATATCCAACCTTGCATCTCTAAACAAGTAATTTAATTTTGTAGCATAATCATAGCTCTTGGTGACTCCTTTGCTCTCCTTAGATCTTGCTCGTTTTGTCTCAGGGCTAGAAGACTTTGAATCTCTGGATCTAGCACGCTTTCCCCTATTTTTCCTATTACGCTTATTATCTCCACGTGAAGATTTTGTTGAAACAGAGCTTATGCTTGGTTGACTAGAATCCGAGTTTGAACTACTAGATGAAACTTCACTGCGTGTATCATAAGTTTCATCTGCAGCAATTTTCAACTCATCCACTATATCATTTTCGCCGCAGCTCAGATTTAAGTTGTCTCCGTCTGTATTATTGTCCATATTTTCACTTTTTATTTGATCACTTTCACTATTGCTCAAAAGTATGTAGTCACTTGTCCCGTCATCCAGGCTTTGTATTTCTGGATTTTTCGGGTTTTCTTGTGTGAATCCAATGCAGTTCTGGTGCCTTTAAACCTTTTCTGAAACGCAAATATAAAAAAGGACTTACTAGATGGATATCCAGTATGCAATAATACTTGTCCAAGAACAATATCATATTTGAATGGATCTTGTAGGTTTTATGACAATTACGTGGTAGAAAATAATGTAGTAACATTTTTAGTATATAAGAAGAAAAGTTCAGAAGATTGCACATGAAATCCGATTTAAAGTCACTGTGGTAAAAGATTAAAAAGTCCATTTGTCAAAAACTTGGATGTTAAAATTGTCCTTATGTTTAATTAAAACATTTATAAGTCTCATACAAGTTGTCAATATATATCTACTATCACTGCAAGATTTCAAGTATTTCTTGCTTCAAGTAGATATAGATTATGCCTAATACTGCTAAAGTTCATGTTTCGCTAGAAACAATGTTTAGCAAAGGAAAAGTTCCTTTCTTTTTTTTTTTTTTTTTAACAATTCACGAGCATATATGTCCTTGTATAAGTTAAAAATAAATATGCTTTAAGTTGTAGAGATTTTCTTTTTCTTAAATTTAACAGAGTGTAGTAACACAATTCTTGTAGCTCTATGGAACACAAGTATTTGTCTCAAACTTTGTACATAAAAGTTTATCATAAAGTTTATTACAAGTAGATGGTCTTGTTAAAATGTGCTTTTTTAGGCTATTTAATGTAAGAAGGCGAGGAGTCTTCGAGTTTTTCTGTATTTCAGATAATAACACATCATGCTCGTTTGACGTCTCTATGCAGTCTTTTAAAACGCGAAGGCTATGCCTAGGAAAGTTCGTTGTGAATATTATTCTGAATAGCAACATCAGCACCACAAAACATACTCAAAACCATCATATTCGTCATTGATTTTATTAAGAAAGTTCATATTTTGCAAACATAAGTCCTTGATGTTATAAACCCTTTATGCAGCTCGTACACACTTACGTGTACACTCGTTCTTCACTTAACACACTTCGCACCTCACGCAAGACTGCTCAATAATTATCATAGATACTTAATAACTATTTCTATTATTTCTCTACACGAAATACACAGAAGATTCCACAAGGAAGCGTGCTTTTTTTTATAAAAACACAATAGTTGATTATTTCCTCACGGATGCATAAATCATGGCGTCCATTATGTGACGTGTTCCTTACGATCGATAGAAAGTAGTTGTAAAATTAAATTGAACTTTCAATTAATTTTAGAAGACTTTATTTTTATTATTGTCTTTTTTCTCGAAATTATATTTATTTATAATCCTATATATATATTAAAAAAAAAAATATTTTTTTAAATATAGAAACAGATAAGATTTTAGGTAACTATAAGTTTCTTAGATACACACAAAGATGTACATTTTAAATATTCTGGGTTCTCTGTTTTGTTAAGCTGTGAAGTTTATTTATTTAAAACTATTATTTAATGTTATCATATTATATTTAAATATTAAATATGTAAAGGGAATAGAACATTTTCTTATATAAAATTTCCAAGAACTAAAATCCCTAGTATCATTCATGGTCGCCATCTTTAAAAAGGAATGACGACCATCTTGAATCATTTTTCACGGGTTGTTGACACGGGTAGATCACAGCCGGTTGTGAAAGTGCTTCGTGATGTAAAATTAATCATAATTAATTGCCGGAAATAAATAGTGGTCATATAGAAACTAGAATTAAAAACGATACCGGTTCACGCGTTTAAAATTATTGTGCAAGTATTATTATAGATAAAAGTATAAAAAAATCTGTGGGAATAAGCGTCTGTCACGAATATAAGCAATCTTAACAAAGTCGACAGTTAAGTCTTATCGTATTTACTCAGTACTTTGTAAGAAAATATTGTTGCGGTTGTGTTTGTGTATGTGAAAGAAAAGCTGTACTGTTAGAAAAAAGAAGATAGGAAACACTGAAAATACATCTTATAAAGGAAAATGGTTTCGTGCACATGGTGATACCTCTGGTTGGTTTATGCTTCCTATAAACAATTTGTCATATTTTATGTAAAAGTAATTCAATTTAATTACACATGTTACTTTGTTATAAATTGATAATTATTGACAGAATTACGTGTTAAGTAGAAGATTATTCAATGGTAAATACTGTTATAAATTTTTTACAAGGCTTAAATTCACTGTTCTGGTAACTTATAATGGCGAAATACAACGTACGTTTACTTGAAATTTTGTAAAAACTATAGAATTATCTATATTAAATTGCTTACATTTTATGATATCTGTTGATTTTAATTTTTATATGTACAAGATTTTTATTTGTAATTTAAACAGAAATTTATTTTTTAAATAATGTTTGAAATTCTGATTATCAATTAGTGTTTATCTCTAAGTGTAAAATTATTGCGTTGTTATAATTTTAAAAATTTGGAGTATGAAGAAAATAGTTTTATCTTTTTTTTTAAGATAAATGTATGAAAAGTCATTAATCAAACAAAAATAAAACCACAAGCATTTTTATATTAAAATATTTATTATACTCCTATAATAAAGAAATTAATATATGAATTTAATTTAGTTACTAAATTAAAATTTATGAATTTGGTTTCCTTTTCTTAATATATAGGTGGTAACATTTACATATGTTTATCAATAAAATTATTATTGTTTGTTATAATTAAAAAGAAAAACATTAACATTATTTGATAAATATGAATCATTTTCTAATAAATATATACACTTTTAATATGATTAACAAATTCTTCTAATAATAAAGCACATTATATTTTGTTTTAATTTAACATATTTGAAATAATTTATTAATATATAATAGATCCATATTTTATAAAATGAAAATAGTAAATGAAAATTATTGCATAATATTGTTGGTTTTATTTTTATTAAATTGTTTTGACTTATGGTTAATGACACTATGCATTTTATGATTAATTCATTATAATTACCATAATTTTTGTTACTAAATTTTATTACTGTTAATTAAACAATCAGTATTAACAATTAATATATTTAATATATTATAAAAAGATTATATAAATGAAAGAAAGTTTGCTACATTAGCTTTATTATTTATTTTAAGCTATATTTAACTTTAACCTATTATCACAAAGATGTGCACATTATATGCAGAGTATATAATATAAGAATATAATATGTGCATGCTTCTACTTTTCATACTTCAACTACAGAGAAAGGATTCAAGTATTGATTGCAGGAGCATGGTGTGCTATGGCAATAGGAGGAGGGTGAAGCCCAGACAAGACCCCACCTCTTTATGCTATGCCTTCCATTTAAGTCTAACTTAAATCATTTCAGACAATTGCAGTAAATATATCTAATATGTAGCATAATAAAATGCTTCACTAATGTTATCAAGGAATATGTTCTGCACTTCAAAGATGTATCTTGAGTATTGCAAAGTAATGACCTGTATAAATATTTGATCACTATAAACATTAAATTTAAATGTAAATTCAAGCTGAACTTATACATAAATATAATTAATGTTAAGTTATGGCACCTGAATTATTTCATTTGCTTTTATGTTACATTTATTAGTATCATGTTTCTTTTTCAGATTATTAAAAACATGATAAATATAAAAAATATATGAATGACAATGGGCTGAAATATATCAGATTGTAAAACTCTCATCATATCTTATACGAGAGGAACAGGTAATAATGACATGTACTACTTTATTTTTTAATACTATTTTTATCAAAAATTGTTGGATTCAAATAATTGGAACAGTTAATAAGTGTTGTTCATATTGTACATATTAGTTTCATTACTTATCTATTAAGGGAAATAAGTCATGGCAACAGTGGAAGAAAAGAAACGAGTTGGTGGCTCAAAGGTTTCAGCCATTGCAAATATCTTTCAATCAAAACCACAATTGGATAATCTAAACCACAGAACAAATAATATTCTGTCAGATGGTTTTAAGGAACCGGCTGTGCCTTTAAAGGAATCTCCAACACAAGTTACAGTTGTTAGAACTGAGAGTCATGTAGCTCGCTTTAATAATGCACGTGCACTTTTTGAAAAGCTTGGAGAAGAAAATAAACCAAATAAACCGTAAGTGTATTATAAAATACAGGAAATAAATCTATATAAAACATATGATGAGTTATTAAATTAAGTTTAAAATATATTTTCTGTATAGGGTGGATAGAATTACAAAACCTAGTAACTTACATGGTTTAAGATCACGTTCTAGTTCTGCAAATTCTGGATCTGGTTGTACATCTCCAGCTAGATCACCACGTCCCAGATCCCCATCTCCACCAGGAACCAGAGACCACTTGAGCAATTGGAGTGCAAGTGTTCCAGCTTTAAATGCTGAAAGACATTTTGAAAATGGTCACAATCATGGTTTGGATAATATACCGGATAAACATAAATCACGAGCAGGATTAGGAAAATTTGACAAAAATTATGGCAAAGAAAATCGCTTAGATGATAGGCCAGAAAAACCAGAAAAACCTGAAAGAAAATTGAACTCGAAAGAGTTAATTGAAAAGCAGAAAAATTGGACTAGTCACTTTTCAAAAACAAGACCAAGCAGATATAATTCAGATCCAAATAGATCTTTGGTTCAAAGTTCTTTAAATCAAAGTGCAAATAAAGCGAATGTTGAAACTGCTTCTTCAGGGCATGTACAAAATGCTGCATGTACCGATGGTGAAGCAAAAAGATCAGCAGATATTTCTGCTAATCCAGCTACCAGATCTGCAAGCTTTTGCTCTGTTAGATCATCAGCCATATCTCCACCACCACCACCACCACCAACAAGAAATTCTTCTACTTCAAATGCGAAAAAGGAAAGGCCAGCTAGTATTGCAGCAGTGTCTCCACCAGATATTCCTAGCAGTCCAGAATATGCTACTATAAATAAATATTTTGATACTTCACCAACTATACCTGAATATGCAGTTGTGCAAAAAAATATAAATGTACAAAATAAACATTTTCAAAGAAATCAAGAACAACGGGAAATTTCAAAAAATATAACCACTCCTACACTGGAAAAAACACAAGATGCATTTATACCAGAATATGCAGTAGTACAGAAAAATACTACAGCAAAAGTACATTCACGAAGTGCAGATACATCAAAAAATACTTCGACGCATCATACAAAAAGTATTAACAATTCTGAAAGTGGTGGTTTACCTCTCAAAAATAATCTTACAAGTTCAAGTATTGATATTTATTCACAGACAAAATCACATGTTTCTCCTTATGAAAGAAATTCTGATATGTCTAGTCCAACACGAAGTATGTCAATAGAAAATATTATTAGTTTGACAATGGAAAGTAAGATGAGAAAAGATAGTGACTTGCTTGATGCTCCTGAATATTTGAATTACCCTTCAAATGTTATACGTTCACCACCTAAAACTTCTGAGTGGAGGAATGAATGGTTAGCTAAAAATGACGAAATTTTAAAGAAGGCTACAGACTTAAAATGTGCTAGAGAAGACATAGAAACCAAAAATGAAGTTATAAGACCTGATCCACGACCAGACTGGGCTAGACCATGTATAAATACAGTGAGGAAGAAAGATAATTTGACAGAAGAAAAGAAAGTAGAACCATCAAAATCTCCGGATCCGGAATTAAGACCACCTTCTGGAGGTACGGATAGTGCATCTTCTAGTATGAGCTCCCCTAGCTCCCCTTCTAAGGATAGTAAAGAAGAGAAGGCAGATAAGGAAATGTCAGAAAAATTTCAAGCTGGTATAGTATATGTGAATAATTCCCAATAATATCATTCATACTTATACAAGCATATATAATAATAAATAGTTTTTATATGTTTGTATAAACACACAAATTTAACTAAAATCTATATTTTAGTAAGTGAATTTTATATATTCTATTTATTAATATAAAACAATTATTTGATAATATATCTAAATTTTGAAATTTTACTGTGGCTATGTGCCAAAATACTAAAAAGTAACAGAACAGGGAGGAAGCCTTCCTCCCTTCCCCTTTCCTCCTCTTCTTGATCTTACTTCCTCCTACTGGTTCAACAGTATTATTTATAGAAATCTGTGTATTCTGTTCTGCTTCTGTCTGGTTCTACTTCACATCACTTATTTCAGAAAAGTATTTTATATATTTTAATAATTTGTTTACCAGTGCTCATAAAAAAATATTTATTACAAAATTAATGCTATTTCTAAAGTATTTGCTTTATAAGAAATGGATATAAGTGATACATAAAACAGTCTGTGTAATGTATTAAATATTTTGCAGTGTGTTTTTAATAAAAATTTATACGAATGATATTTGAAAATAATAATTTAAAGTTTATTGAAATGTTACTCTTTTGAAATATTTTTCTAAATTCTTCATATAAAATATGTATATCATTTTATATGTAGCATTCAACACATTTTTATCAAAGATTACACATATTATAAAAAATTTTAAAACAGTCAAAGTTTTAGTTTTAATATAAAAAGAAAAAAGGAAAAAAAAATTTTAAATAACAAATAAAAAAAATAAATGCACAGAAATTTAATTTAGTGTTTTTATTGTGCATGTGACTATTCTATTTCTATAATCTATTACTTTATACACAAAAAATATAAGTACCATGTGTCTACGACTGCTATGCATTGATTGCCGAGGTACATCATATCTTCTCTTAAAAATTGATATATGTAAACTTTAATGTGTATATATGTAATTAAAAATATTAAAAAATTTTCTATCAGAAATTTTTGATTATAAATAATTTGATGTTTTGATATTTTAAGGTCGTAACAGTTATGACTTACAACATGAAGAACAAGAAAAACCTGCAGCGTATATGGAATCTATTGCTGAAAAGGACAGTTTCGAAAAAAGTTCAAAATTCAATGAACCAGATACTACTACAGTTATCCGACGATCTCATGTGCGTGTTGATCTTCAAACTTCTGGTTTGGGGCAACGACCACCATCCGTTGTTAGCTCGGATCAAGAATACCCACCTTTAGAACATAAGGATATACCAATACCGTCGCCATATGCAAAAAAAATGCAACAAATTCAAGAAACTACTACTCAAAACAGTGAAGTTAAGCCACATGTAAAAACAAATATAGAAGAAAATGCATTGATAAAAATAGATTCAACAAAAAGTTGCCATAATAAAATATCTCAAGATAGTAATCAAGATCATGTACGAATAAATTCAGTAATTACAGAAGGAAATCAAAATATAGTTTTAGATAATAAGTCGAAATCAAATATTGTTAATGAAAGACATACATTTCCTGAGTCTGTATGTCAGAAAACAGTATCTAATGCCAAAAATGATCAAATTAAGATCTCTGTACGAGAAAAGCTTGCAAAAAATAAAGAAGAAGTATCTGGAAAACGATCAAGTTTTGCAGAAGTAGATAATAAAGTAGACCAAACGGAAAAAGTCATTTTAAATACAAGTCAATGCTCAGTAGTTTCAAGTGCTCAAAGTACAGAAAGTTTGTCAGAAAAAGTAATTAACAAAGAAACGGAACCTGGTGATGCCATACATCCAGAAAATACATCTAAATTTATGTCAAAACCTGATAATAAAAAGGAATTTATAACTTTGGCTGGAGATGCAGTACCACCACCTAAACCTAGTACTCAAACAATAAGCAATATCTTAAATAGGAGCACAGAGGAAATAGATCAGCCACAAACAACATGGGAACAAGAAAAACAAAAAGCTGAATTAGCAAAATTGAGACTACAGGAAATTACCTCTACAGTTCAACAAATTAACGTACCTCAAAATATATCACCTACTATTATAACTCAGCAACATGTAGAAAAGAAACAGTTAAATGAACATATTGTATCTGAAAGTAGTATTCATGATGATAGTGACTCCAGTGATACTAAGACTATTACAAATTTGGAACATATACCAGCAGTGGATGTAAAAAATGCCATAGAACAAAATGATGCTAAGATTGCCACAGAGAATCGTTCTAAAGCCATTGCAAATCAAACAATTCCTGTTACACCAGATACTATGACAGCTGATGAAGCAGAAAACCTACTAAGTTCTCGGTAAGTTACTCAAATAAATAATGTATGTTAATAAATTATTGTAAAAGAATTATATTGTAAAAGATATAGATTATTACAAATAGTGAAGAAATTGTACACAATAATGAATGTATTTAAAGTTATATAATGCACTAAAATCATAGACTTTTTTTTAAATACATCTTTTGAAATGTATTTTGCCATTATGATAATTCTAGTTATATTGTAAAGAATTTCATAGCAACTTGCATACAGCTTAATAATTTTTATTTCCTTATTTTAAATTCTAATATTTTCTTCTATTCATGTTTATTTGAATGTGACTTCAAACAAACTTGTAATGTACTGGGACGAAACACAGCATCCTAGAGAAAAAGATAAGGTGAGTTAATTGTTATTGTCTGCTTAAATGTTTAGTTCATTGATCATGATATTAAATTACAAAAAAAAATCACCGTGAATCATATGAATAATCAATTAGACAAGGATCAGCTTTATTGTCGGATGAAGAAGCTCAAGAAATAGCAAGATTATTATCACCTACTACACATGCTGAAGTTGTAAGTGAAGAAAATTCTATTGATAAAAATAGAGAAATGGACAAAGAGAGGGAAAGAAATAGCACCACTAATGATTATAGGTGAAGTTTGGTCTTTTATGTTTTTTATGTTCTATAAAACTATTTTGCAGCTGATGCTATATATTGATTTTAATTACTTTTATTAATTGCACATTTGTAACATTATTTAGCACAAAATTATATTGATTTTTCATTAGAAAATACTCAATTTTTGTAATTTTTTAGTTTGTCCCATAGATCACGTAGCGATTTAACTATAGACTCGTTGACGGAGAGTCAAGTGGGTTCTGTAACTGGTAGTGAAAGTGGTTTACTTGGATCAGTTAATAGTTTAAATGATACTTATGAAATTAACGATGATACCGAAACGGAACATCAAGACGAGTATGTTCCACCAACACCAGGCAAAGTTGTAAGATCATAGATAAAATATGTGTCTATAAAATGTTATTTAGAGATAAAGTGTATTTAAATTTTGTAACGTTCATTCAGGTTCTCGTGGAAAATGGTGTACATTATTTTGAAGATGGTCATTTTTGGATGGAAATTGCAGGAATACCGGAATCAGATGATGAGAAAGATGATTATCCAACAAATCTACCCATTAAAAAAATGAGTAAAGTTTCATTTGATACAAGACCTATGAGAGTTTATTCAACGCATTCAGTAAATGAGTACGATCGGCGAAATGAAGACGTAGATCCTGTTGCTGCCAGTGCAGAATATGAACTCGAAAAACGAGTTGAAAAAATGGAGGTAGTTATTTAATCAGTACAGATTATACTGCATGTTACATATTTTATTGCGTATATATATAATATGAAAAAAAAAAAAAATTGATTAGGTTTTCCCAGTGGAACTTATGAAAGGTCCAGAAGGTCTTGGTTTAAGCATTATTGGAATGGGTGTCGGCGCGGATGCAGGACTCGAAAAGTTAGGTATATTTGTCAAAACGATCACGGAAAAAGGCGCAGCTGCACGAGAAGGCAGAATACAAGTTAACGATCAAATCGTTGAAGTGGATGGAAAATCTTTAGTTGGAGTCACACAAGCATATGCAGCTAGTGTTCTTCGTAATACTTCAGGTCTCGTGCGTTTTGTAATTGGTAGAGAACGAGATCCGAATTCGGAAGTAGCTATGTTAATTCGACAAAGCCTTCAAGCCGATAAAGAAAGGGAACAGCAAGCTAACTCTGCTAGGTATGAATCAACTGATTTTTAAAGTCAACATACATATATTGTTTAAAAATGATTTCCCAATGATGGTTTATCCTTGCTCGCTAATATCTGTGACGAAAATTTATGGCCACTCTAATGACGGCACGAAGCCTCTTGGAGCGCTGAGGGAAGAAACTAACTTTTAATATATCAAAACCTCAACAAATTTATTTAAAAGATTTTAAAATAAGTATATTTCGACAGAAAACTTAATTTTTCGGATGCCTCGCCTGATAGTCAACGAGGTGTTGAAGACATTTCTGTTGGAGGCATGGGAGGAATACCAGGTTCTCCAGCTATGTCATCGTGTTCAGAAGGGGAACCTCCTCAAAGTCCTATAGAAAATTATTTATCTTCTGGTCGGAGTAGGTCTCCTATCATCAGTTCATCGATGCCACAACATACATCTGCTACAACGCAAAGCGATGTTGACAGTTTAAGACTGCTTTTACAAGAGGTACTGTATTTTTATTAATAAGAAAAAAGAATATGTAGTATAAAGCATATGTGTAATGTGCATAATTTCATGTATGTATAATGATTTAATTACAATATTTCCTATTTATAAGTTTTTTGTATTTTTCTCATATACGTAGTTAATGAGAAACATATGTCATAGTCTCATTGCTTATGAATGATATTTTAAATTAAAAATTTCATAAATGTATACCAAAGTGTATTTTGTATTATTTAATCATTGCACAAAATATTTAGTGTCATGTTCAATTTTATTAATTTTTTGTAAGATATTACTGTATAGAATGCAATATATAAATTATAATGGTGTAAACATATGCACTATAATGTATTGTACATACATGTATATACATTGTTTATATTGCTATTTTATATACACCATAAGCACTCCCTCGTAGGTTAATAAGCGTGAATATATTTTGGTGTTGCTTATGCACTGTGTTCGTTGTTCACTGCTTGCAGAGTCAGTATAAACTAGCATTAGCAGATGGAGAGGTGGAAAAACTCAAAGCTAAGGTAATAGCATAAGATAAACAATTTTATGTAATTTTTGTTTGTTAATGCAATTTGCTTGTATATCATATGCTTACACTTATGAATCTGTGTGCAGCTAAATGTATAGTTTTTATAAATTAGTTCTATTTTTACTTTTTCGTATAGTTTCTATGTCTTAATTTACTCTCACAAGTAATACAAAGGTATATAAAATGGTTTTCTGAAGAAATATTAACTTGTATATGTATTTTGTTCATATTTGCAATAAAATTTATTATAAATTTTTTATTTGTAGCTTGTAGACTTAGAAAATAGTGGAGCTGGAAGTGAAGAATATGCAGCAAAATTACGAGAGTCTGGTTTACGACTTCACGAGTCCGAAAGAGCTTTGGGTACTGCTAGACAAGACTTAGTAGCAGCACGAGAAATGCTTTCTCAAGCAACAACACAAAATGCTGCTTTACAGCAAAAATATGCTCGTGCAAGGAGAGCAGCTCGTGAATTGCGCACAGATATTGCTGCCAGGGACGAATTTTACCAACAATTACTGCAAGAGAAAGATACAGAGTATAATGCTCTTGTTAAAAATCTAAAAGATAGGGTTTGTTATCAGTTTCTACTAAACAAATAAGAAATTGACTATATATTATATATATATTAAATTAACTATAAATAATTATAGGTAATCACATTGGAGGTAGAATTAACAGAAACACAAAGAAGGTTTGGATTACCAGTAAGATTGCCTTATGATGGAACTACGGCTAGAATCGTTACGCCACAATTATCTCGTCGACAATTACCTCCTCCTCCATCATCAACTAGTTGTCAACTTTCAGACACAGAAACATCAGATCTTAGTAGCCCAGACGATGGTGACAAAACAGCGACGGTTGAAAGAAAACTACCACTCCCATTGCCAGTCAAGGAAGAATTAGATCGAGCAGTACCTGCTCATCGACTTCTTGACAATTCTGCTGGAAAAAGTAAAGCTGAACTTGCCAGTAGAGGAGGACTTGCAAATCGACAACTTCCTAAACGATCTGGTGGCCTTAGTAACAGCAGTTCTGTATGTATATAGTCAATATTATATCTAGGGAAAAAAATAATTTAATCGTCTTATATTGTAGGATTACGGTTTGGACGAGTCAGGTGATAATACTGATGAGGATTCGTCTTCTAAATTACTCTCTCAAGATACAAGCAGCAGATCGCCAAATGATTTAACATCGAAACAATCGAACTTGAGTTCCTATTCCAGTAGTTCTTCGATTAGTTCACTGAAAAGTAAACATATGGAACCTACGCATCCGACAGCAATCCGACAACATAGTACTATTAGTTCACAAGTTAGAGCTATGACAGAACAAAGTTGGCCACAATCTCAGAAAAGTACTTTTTCCGTTACTTTTTGGATGCACGCTGTGTATAACTTCAAATACAAAATTATTATTAATTTTTTGTAGATTTAACTGGACCACCAGCATCATTTGCAGAACAACTAAAACAAGTTTTAGCAGAAAGAGAAAGACGACTTGGCGGAAACGATATGTCTTCCTCAAGAGAAAGTTCTGGGGACTTCAGTGATTTAAACAATCCAAATTCGAGCGATCCAACTTTGGTTACCCATCATTTAGTGGAAGAAATACGGCAAGCTGTAAACGAGGCCAATCAAAGAGGTAATATGTCTTAAAATGTAATATATCTAATGTGTAATTTTCATAAAAGTAATTTTCTGTTTTTGTAATAAATTGTCTTTTACACAGTAAAAAAGGCCACTATTCCTTCATCAAATTTAATTGGTAGTAGTTCCACGCCTTGGCATCATCCAGGTAGTTCACCTTCTAGTCTGTCTTCTGGTGGATCAGTGAGCCCACCTGCTGTTGATCCTAGTCCATCTAAAACAGGTATTATAGATATTCACAACATGATGCAAGCAGTGAATGATTCTTGAGCCCTTCTTTATCGTTTTTTTATACGTTTTGTTTGTCATAATTTTATCCCTCCCGTGCGTAAACAATATTATGAATCTAGATACGAGTGAAGTTTGGTTGCCTCCTCATCCAAGCGACTTTGGTTTAGGTGACAAGAAATCCCACTTCTGGCAGAATGCATCAGTTATGGATTGGTCCAAAGAACAAGTGTGTATATATTTACTTAAAACAATATTTGTACCAAAATTTATAAATTTTTTGGGCTATTATATTTTATCTGGATTTGTAATTTGAAAAATCGTATTAGGTTTGTCAGTGGTTATCAGGAATCGGTTTGGAACGTTATGCATCACACTTTTTGGAAACTGGAATTAATGGTGGAAACCTTTTACGGCTTGAATCTCGTGACCTCAAAGCTTTTGGTATTTGTGGTGAAGAGAAATCCCACTTGAAACGCAAATTAAAAGAACTTAGAGCACAGGCAGATCGCGAACGCAAGGAAAGGAAAGAAATAGAACGAATGCGACGAAAAGCGGAAAAAGCTGCACGAAAAAAATAGTTTGTGCGTACATTAATGTACTTATGTCCTCTATAAAATGCAATAACTTTGCAGAAAAAGTCACTGACATATTCAAATTTTATGTACGATATTCCAGTGATATTCGTAATTTTCACTTCTTCCGTCTGTATTTAATTCTCTATTACACATAAGCAGTTTACTAAATGTTCTTAATCGGATTTCTTGCTATCCGAAATATTAAAATTTAATTATTTATACTTATAAATTTTTTACTGTTAGATTTTTGCATTTATTTATAATTTTTGTATTCATGTTGCTTCACATTCATATTGTTCTTATAGTATTTGTATTAGTTATTATTTATAAAGTAACAATGAATACAATTCGAAAAAAAGAACGTGTATGAATGTAAAAGCATGCCTACCATACAGAAGTATGCATGTGATATGTATGTATAAAATTCATGCCATTTAGATAAATTGTAATAAAATTTTTATTATCTAATATCTTTTTTATAATTGTAAGTACACTTTTGTAGAAACATAAGTTTCATGTTACTAGAATGTATCGTTTCTGTATTTATTTTTACTATCAACTGTATAACAATTTTTCATAATGAATAATATAAATACTAGCAAAATAGAGTCCTAGAGTTCAACCATTGTCGGAAAAAATGACTGTCCTTTAGTATGTATATCATGAAATATCAACGAATTTGTATTTGTCAATGCAGTATGTATTACTGTATTAAATTCTATTGTAGATTAATCAATTATGAAACAGTTTCATTTGTCTGTATCTTTTGTTCGATTTACATATCACGTAATTATTAAATTACTATTTTTTAAAATTAAAATTAAATAAAATATAGATGAATTTCTATTATGCTACTATTTCAAGGTCTGTATTAAACATATTTTTCATTTTAATCGCAATATTGTTTGTATTATTATATTAATCTGTGAATTAAGGACTAGAAATCCGCACAAAATTTATTTTATTATGATGATAATTTTTAATTTATGTGATGAATTTCTTTAGCGTTTTATATACTTCAAACATTCCATGTAAGATTTTATAATTCTATCTTTATTAACATACATAAGTAAAATGTATACCACTAGAGTTCTTACACTTTGGGCAGTGTATTTATATATGTGTGAATGGTTTATGGATACATTGCGTATTAAATAATATATGTTAATACTAAACTAGTATCCTAACAAAAGTTCATTCTAAATGTTTGTTCAAATGATTACGGGACTTGCTTGGGTACAATGTAGACAAACGTACTTTATTGTACGTATACTTATTTATAATAACATTAAGTTTTGTACAGTGTTAAGTACTTTGTTCCACCTTTATACCGTTCTTAATGTACAATGTCTTTCTTTTTGAACAGAACAATTTCTTTTATATAGAATAATTAAAAGTATTTAATTAAAAGTGCAGACAAAGTATTTAGCATTGATACACACACTGTAAATATTATACAATGAATGAACACTAATATTGTAATCTATAAAAAAATGATTATGACATAAGGTGTGAGAGGCATAAATGTAGTGTCATAATATCTTTATAGAAAATAGTTTTTAATTTTCTAATTTAAGCATTTATCAAAGGTCCTCCATTTTTTAACAATATTATGTATCACAATATTTGGAAAACAATTATTGTTACTTTTGTTGTTATGTACAACGAAATGTGGGAAGTGATCAAAAGTATCAACATAATACAACATTCTTGCGTCTCAGGGTAATCATTAATATGTTTTCAGATATATATGTGTGTTCAATGAATTAAAAATTCTCATAGATTGGAATATCCTACAATTCGTTTCTAAATAATTATTGTGATTTCGTAGGAGCAGATGTTTGATAAAAACCGACTGATTTACAATAAGTTTTTATAGTTGATTTTCGAGCAATGGCTTAGGTATAATAATGTAACAAAATGCCATTTGTCCAAAAGTAATCACAGAACCAAAACTTGTACTCCTCTATGGAGCTGCATAATAACTTAATGTTTTCATACATTTTCAATGATTTTAAAGTATTGCTCACAAGAGAGGAAATTATAGTTCCATGGATAAAGACACAGAATGTCAGTTGCATAAATGGCAGCTTTTTAATAATGTCTATGAAAAGTATTGTCAACAAATACTCTTAAACGTTTTAATTAAAAATAATTCATACTATTCATTCGTAGTTTGTTCTTTTTACCTGATAAATAAAGTATTGAAAATATACTCAATACTTATAATGTATACTAAACATGTATTTAGAATGAAGTTTTTTATATGGAAATGAATTGTGAATATAATAATATAATCCTACCTGTTGTTATGTCCTTCTTAACATATACTTATAAGAATATTCGAATTAAATAAAGCGATATTTACCGCGAGATGTTTGATCGATAATGGTCACAACTTCGATAGTGAAACTTGTACCCAATGAAAAAGTGTTGAACAGGAAAATGCCAGTTATAGTTATCAAAGATTATTCTTGGCGTCAAACTACAGAATTTATTATACTAAATATACCTTTAAAAGGTCATCCAAAAAAGATTGATGTATTTGTAATAGATAATTATATAAAGGTATAAATTTTAACCTTTTATGACTACAAATTATATCAATTAAATATAAAAAATAAATGTACTATTTGATTCGATAACAGATCAGTTTTCCACCATTTATATTAGAATTATTTCTTTGGACTAATGTTGTCGAAGAAGAAAGTAAATGCACCTTAACTGAAGAAAAAGCAATACTTACTTTGCGTAAAACAAATATTAGTTTGGACTGGCCTACCCTTGAAGTACAAGATATTAGTAATGATTATAAACGAGACTGTCGTAATCGTGCTTTAGAACATGCTCAAAAGATCGCCGAAGAAAAAACAAAACTCAAGAGTGGTATGTAGAATTTAATATAAAAATACAAAGGCTCATAAATTTTCCATTGGCTCATAATTTGGTACAGAAAAACATCAACATTTACAAAAAGAAGCAGTGAAAGATCAAATCAATATAAACACGGCTACACTAAATAAAATAGATGCAATGCGAGACACACATCGAAAAGAAGCTATGCGGGAATTTGAAGACTGGAGATCAAAAGCTGAACTACCATTTCTTCCTAATGTTGAAGGAAAAGTACAAGAAAATAGGAAAGCTTACAAGTATCAAACACTTAATAAGTACCATAATTTTTTATATTTTTTAATTTAATTATTAATCCTTGTTTTTATCATTTTTACAAGACCGCCGTTGAAATGGTTTGAAACTGTTGATAATACATTAAAATCACGATCCATGACTGAGGAAGAAATATGTAATAATAATGTTACTATAAAAGAATTGGAATCAAAATCAAACGAGAATTCAAAAATTCTAGAAATAAACAGAAACCAAGAAAATAATCTTAAAATAAAAGTATTAAAGAAAGAAGATTTTCTCAAAAGTGACCCTAATTATTCTAAAGATTCTGAATCAGATTATGAAGTCTTATCATATGATTCAGTAAAAGCAACAAACAAAAAAGAAGTAGATGATGTTTATAAGAAAGAGCAGAAAAAAAGACCGGGATTGGAAGCTGTAAAAGCTGCGATACGTGGTAATGTTTTGAAAGGAACCAACATATTTGAAGAACCTTCGAAATCGATACCATTACCAAGAAAAATGGGTACGATTAATGTCACATTTTCGGAAAGAAAGTTTCCAACACCAGCTAGGGAAAGTTCTCATATCGAGGAACAAAAAGTATTATGTTTTTATAACTTCAATCGTAAAAATTAATGTAAAAGAAATTATATTAGCCATCAATTGTATTAATAATTTAATTATAGTGGTTACAAAAACAGGCAGAAGCAAGACGTAAAATTGGCTTCGACGCGGAAGATCTCCGGCTGGAAGAACGAGATCCACAATGGTTAAAGGATAAAGGAGAGTATGTTTAATGTTTTCATAAAGATTAAAATATAGTAATGTTAGTAAATTATAAATTAATAAATTATTGATAATTATTTTTTAGCGATTTCTTTAAAGACGGAAACTATCTTGCAGCTATAAGTGCTTATACGTATGGGATTAAAATTAGCAGTGAAATGGCATCCCTTTATGCGAATAGATCAGCAGCACATTATGCATTAGAAAACTATTATAAATGTATGGAAGATTGTTCTAAAGTAAGTTGTTTAAATTGTAATTTGTTCAATTTGTACAAATAAGTTTGATCATACATTTTGACTTTCAGGCATTAGAATTAATGGAACCAAAATGTGAAAGCAATCGGGAGTCAAGGGCCAAGTGTCACGCTCGACGAGGCGCAGCACTTTGTAAATTATCCGCACCTCAGCATGGTATTCCTGAGTTAGAAGCTGCATTGGTATTGACACCGGACAATGAAAGTATAAAACGTGACCTGTTGGTCGCGAAACAATACTTCGACATGAAAGATTAAAAAGTAGGTGAACTAAACTAACTTTAGTAGTTAGATTTGACTAACTCACAAAACTAATGGAATTCTATTCGTTCGTGTTATCTTTTGAAGAATAAAAAGTTAGAGAAACAAAATGTGTTTGAGAAAAAATTAAATATTATAAAAAAATTATATTATTCAAAAACATTTATTAATGTATTATAAAAAAAAAAATGAAGTACTTGTTATATTATAAAAATATCACAGTCAAAAATCCTGAAGAGAGTTTAAATCGAGGAACTTATTATTATTCTAATACTATATAAACACCAACTATAATATTGATTACTCGCATGATTATATACAGTATTTTGGTATATTTTAATTCTTTTAACTACTTAAAATATTTTCATAACAGCATATAAGATTTTTCACCATTATTTTAACAAAATTTTTAAATAATTTGATTTTAATTAATCAAACTCTATAATTTTTTTCTCGACACACCCACACTTGATATGTTCCAAAGCATGTATCACTTCGTGATGTCTGTCACGTTGTCGATCAATTGTATGTTTGACCATAAAAACAAGGCTAACATTTCTGGTTTCGATAGGTGCACAAATTTGTTTAGGGTCCGGGCAGCATCCAGCTCCATCACAACGTGTTAGAACTGTCGAAGCGGGATAAAAAACTTCGTCGGGACTAGGACCAACAGTTAGAAGCTCTGCCACTGGAACAGCCCTTGGTTGAGGAATGGAACACCGAAATTCATGTACCAATTGCACGTGATTCAGAAATCCACTATCTCTAAAAATCGAGCCGATTATTTTAAGAGATCTGTCAAAGCCACGTGACCAACATACACTTTGATTTTATACGTATAATATAATTTACCTATGGTGTCTGCTTATCGTAGCAAAAGCAAGATGCATACAAAATAACAGTAAAATACATCTTCTCATTTTTTCAGTTCTTTCTTACAACTAAATGAGATTCTAGATAAGAAGTATTCTACTTTAGTTGAAAATTTGCACACTCCGATAGATCTCACTCGCAATTGTCTGGAACTGAGAACTGCGACTACACTTCTGCGATCTGAATTCTTTCTCCCTCTATATATATGTGTAACTTTCATCCTCGGCCCGATGCCCTCTACCTCCCCTCTTTTTCCGATTTCTCATCGTCTTTCTTCGTTGATCTACCTTTCACCGTATCGTTTTGTCTCGTCCTATGGCGATTCGCACCGTCTCCCTCTTATTTCTTGGTAAGCTCGAGGAGGACTTGAAGCAAAGCGTTCCGAGAACATCGCGAAGATAACTATAATTACAACTAGTGGGTCCTGCCTCCCGTTCGAACTGGGACCATGTTACGTCGCGTGACTAGTCGCCCTTTCCTCGTCAATCGCCTCCTCCTTTTCTCATTTTCTCCTTTCATCATATTGCTCCTTCCTCTTCATACCTTGAATTCAACAAATTTCGGCCAGTCATCAGTCAAATTATCATCCTACTTTTGATTCTCCTTCGTACACCAATTGCATCCCAAACACTGTTGTTTGTATGCCGGTGCATCTTATTTGAATTCCTTACTTTTGAATAATTTTTATAAAAGTTTCAGCAACTTTATTTTCGTTGATCTATGTCGTTTAAAAGCATACTAAGTACTTAAATGATTAAAAAGAATATCTAAATGTAAATTTTAATTATTATCATTTAACTGTTATTAGTTTATAAATATTTGTACACTTAGTTTTTATTCAAAGAAATAATTATATGTCAAAGGATCTCAATGATTATACGAAAAGAACTGCTGAAGATGACAGTATGAACTGCCTCAGTTTTCTCGCGACGTGTAGTGTTATATGATGCGACAGGTTGTAGTGAATCATCACTACAGTACGATTGTCTACGAAGTGTCTGATTGCTCATTCATAACATTCTTTTCATTTTTACGAAAGCTTTGCGTAACGAAAGGCAACCTTGTATGATACCACTTGTTAAACGTACGACATATCCGCTTGTGACAAATTTTCCACGTGAAAGATGAGAGTGGGCACACGAATATCCGTTAACAACTATTCATAGAACTGACTCAATCGGTATGCGAAGTTGTGAATCTATGAACCTTAAATGGAATTTCGTATGTAGGTGTACTGGTCAATAATTTAAAAAATCCTCGTGTTAAAGATTAAATATACACGAAGTTATCTTTTTCATACGTAATCAAAAATTCGATTATTTTACTCTCACTTTACATTCTAAAGTTACTATTTATCAAATTATTATTTTCTGGCTTGTACCACTCACTAATGTCTTAATCCACATTTTGCTATTAATTATTTAATTCGTATACGTAATAAAGGTGAAAATTAAAATGTAACTGATCGGTACGTTGTATGTGTAACAACGTGAATAAGCAATGAATACGTATGACAAAAATAATATTAGCTGTAATCGGACGAACCCGGAATCACAAATGCGAATGATCAAGTATTGCACTACGGGGGACATTCCCGTTACGTCAAATGAATCCATAATCGCGTAAGATAATCGTCGCACGCACATTCGCACTATTAATTATACATCTTGTAACAGAGATAATAGTATCGTAATAAGTACATTAACATCTCCCGAGACGTATTTTTTGTGTTGTAAATAAATGAATTATTATTAGAACGCAATGTACAAGGAAGAAGATACAAAGCAAATAAAAAGTATATGCCTAAAGGAAATATCAAGCAGAAAACAAAGACAAAATTAAGCGTAAGGCGAATTGTCAAAAAAAGATACAAATAAATTTCTGTTTTCGTATAATTAGCCATTAAGAAATTTTAAATAGAATAGCTTAATTATAAATCACATATTTAAAGATTTAAAAAATTTTGATTTTATCAGAATTGTGTAGAATCTATATTGACGTACACTAATTTGATCTTATTTCTGAAATCATTATTTATCAATTCATCGATGTCCTATTCTCTACGTGTGTAATGGAACAACACACATAATTAATTTTTAAATTCGATTATTACATTTGTCAATATTTTTATATAATAGATGGCGAACAATAAAATAAGTGCATAACTTCATGAGAATATGTGAATTTTAAATAGAAATTATATGTAACACAGGAAAATGTCATCTGAAAAACCATGAGGAAATTTATCTCGTTTACTATTCTCCCATATTAATTGACACAATCACATTTCCACGAATGAAATGTATTATATATAGAAACTAAATGAAACTTGCATTATAAGAAATATAAAATATGACGAAGATAAATACTAATTTGAAAATAAAAAATATATCAACAAAGTAATTGCAATACTTTTTTTAATTCAAATCCGAGTATAAAGTGCACTTTAATTTCCTGTATATTATTATTCTTTCGAATAAAATGTAGAAACCTACAAGCTTAAAAAATATGGTACACGTTTAAAGAATCAAAACATATTCTGTATATATTCGAAAAAATCTTAAAGGAAAGGAAATATTTATATAGAGATAATTTAACAACACAAAAGTATACTTCAAAAGGATCATTGCGAGAAAATGACTTTACTTTGGTTATTTCTTTAGAGCAAATATTCGACCGTAAAACATTCTAGAAGAAATGTCGTGAAAATCTCTTGAACCGCCAGGAAAGTTAATGTTCCTTGAAATCTTAGAATCAAACTTTACAATCTGTAACATATCGATGAAAGATCTTTTTAGACGAAACAACAAGGAAAATACGTGTAACAAAATGTAAAAATTCTAAAATATTTATTGTGTTTGACTCTTAATGAATCACTCTCACATGAGTCAATTGTAATTTCCAAGAAAAGAAAATAAGCGGTAGGTACGCCTACGTAAAAAAGAACACCTTCTAATAGTATTCACGTTGAAAATTATGTAAACTTCAATGGAACAATCTTATTTCCGTTATTTTTTATCATGGATTGTTCATTGAGTTATGAATTGTATCGCGGACGTTTATTTGTCGGTTAAAAAATTGTAGACTATGTATTGAAAGTTTTATATATACGATTGTGCGATTGCTCAAGTAACATATCAATAGAAGGAAAGTCGAAGTTCGACTTTGATATAAACGCTTATATCCTCTTATCAAGAAATTAGTCGATCGAACTGAGAAACATGAAGAGAGTGGCAAATTATAAGTTTAATGTGTGAATTTACGTGTGAAGAACATCTAAAATTGAAAAATATTTATAGAACGATGATTTAAATAGTAAGTTATAGTGAATCAGAACTTTAAGATCAACGTGTTAATCTTCGAGACATGATTGAGGATGAAATCCATGACGTATAAAGTGTAGATATCGTGATGTTTCCCATTCAGAGTGATTTAGTAATTGTATGAGTAAATGTTACCACAAAATCGTAAATTTTAATCGGATTTTACGTGTGCATGAATCTCAATTGATACGTGTATACCTTGCGTGGAGAATGTGTGCAACCTCTTCTATATGTATAAATACACTTCTGGCAGCAGGAAAGTCTCAGTTGGACGCTTCTTAATACGACTACGTGTCGGTAGTTTGCTGTAATTTGTATAAAGAAGACACATTTTAAACGTGTTCGCTATCGCGCCGTAAAATTTGAATTTATGAACGTGATCTTAAGTGAACTGATCTTGCACTTTGGATGAACTGTATGTGTAAAATTAATTTTAGTGACATAACATAAATCGTTCAGTAAGAATTGTAGAATAAGCTAACAGAAACAAGGCATGAGAAGTAGATCATCGAGGTTTTCCCTACTAAAGTTAATGATATTTATCCCGTTGGCTCTGAACAACATGGGCCCATCAGCGGCAACAAATAGTGACAACCATCGTTGGTTGTTCGGAAGGATTACCTTATCCGATGCAGTAAAAGAATCGAAATCATTTGTTTGTAAAGAGCCACAATTTCGAGCATACAATTTAAAAGACTTGATGCAAAACGTTCATCAAAATCCTGGAGAAAGTGCTATTCAACCTGTTTACATCGTCCTAAAGCGTTGTGATGGACATTCTGGATGTTGTACGAGTTCGGACATGAGCTGTTTACCTATAGAATCAGCGATTTCCTACCAGGAAATTGAAATCGAAGTCTGGAGCTTGGAAAATAATAAGAGGAGACAATGGATTAGAGTAGAACAACATGGTAAATGTTCCTGTGAAATTACTACTATCAACGATCGATATCAATTAGAGCATCAACAGCCTAACATAACTCTAATTTGATACTAGTTGATGAGAGCAATTAAAATGAGACATTTTAAAATGAGTATCTTAATTGTCAGTATTGACTTATAAGGAACATAAAGACTGCTAAAGGATCAAAGTAATTAAGAATATTAATATTATGATCTTTCTCGGCTTCAATAGACCGGTTTAATTAGAAAATGTTCAATGCAAACGTCTCCAATACTACGTGTAAAGAAAATTGGCATAAAACTCAACAATGTGGCGGTTATCTTTCCAATATTGAACTGCCATGGGATTGGTGGTGGACACCTGTTTTACAAGAAATTAATATAGATATGATTGTTAAAGACATACAACATTCGTACGAATTCGTGGAAAGTGGATACATTTGATAATCTATTTATATTTATATTAGAGTTCTAACTTCTCAGAAACATTTTAGAATGAAAAAAGTAGACGTTCCAAAATAATTAAAAAAAAATGGATAAAATTCTTGAGATTTTCACCATTTAACGTTGATATCATGTAAAACTTTAAGCCTTTTTATTTTCTCTTTCTTTTTCGAAAGAATTATGTAATTATGATTAACTTCATTAAATATTTCACCAAAAAATTTTAGATGGTATCAACTAGGAAAAATAAGTTATTTATATAACTAGTCATGCTTCGTACTTTATCTTATTTTTAATGATATTAATCAAAAATAAAAGGGGCCAAAGTGTATTATTATTTTAGAAATTACTCTAACTCTTTTAGAAGGAGAGTATAATATTCACCATTGTGATATTGTCTTATTTATACAGTAGTAATATCGAGATCGTAATACTGATAGATTTCATTTTAGCTGTCGTCAAAAATATCTAAAACTAATATTTATTAATTAATTATAAAAGTTCCAGTATTTATACGTATTTGTAATTTTTTTAAATTTGTTCAAAATATATATAATTTTTTTAAATAATATAAGCTATTTGAGTATTGAACAAGTATTAATTAATAATACTACTTTAAATTACTGCTAAACAGATAAGAGACTGATATATAAAATATATCGTATTTTTATGCACCTTCTGAAATACATATAATTATCGTTTATTTATTCTAACAGTGAATTTCGTAATAAATGTCAATTTGTATTTAAGTAAGTATCATAAAACTTAAGGTATTTATTTTATACTATTTATTGAGAGTTAAAAGTTAGATCATATACACATATGTTCCCAATGTATAGTTATATGATTGTTGAAAAAAAAAGTAGAATTTATACTTAAATTTATAAAATACAAAAATAAGCAACATACTTATATGAAATAAAATACTTATGCATCTTGTCAAATACTTTTAATAAGACATTTATGAGCATTGCGTAAATTATGAAAGTCGATTATGATATATATCTCATACAAAATGTTTTACATAAACATATTCTCATCAATACATGAAATTTGAATAATAATAATATAAAAATCATTTTTACGTAAGTAAGATAACTTAAATACTATAAAATTTCAATTTAATTTCCTAACTTTGAAAAAAATCTCGATGTGAGGAATGTCACTTTTGATATCAAAAATTTAAAAAAAACTGCCATTATAAGACTCATATTATAGTTTTCTCTAATTTTAAGTATAACATATGTCACATTGACAAATGTATCTGTACAATAAAATTATCTTTACTGCTAAATAAAAATATTTTTGTTTTGAAAGCTGATATATTAATAGTCAACATTTTTTACACCGTGTACAAAGACAGCAATGTGCAATTTCTCTTACGTTTTCGTATACAAAACAATTTAACCTTAGAATCGTGCGTATGGATATTTAGACCTCATTCGTCTTCCTCTTGTTCCACGCCCTCTTCCGGTTTCGCTATTTGTTCCTCTTGTTGCATGTCCTCCACGTATTACGCTTTGTCCTTTGAGAAAAAAAAAAAATATGATTAGAAGATAATTAGGATAAGAAGAAATATTGTTGTTTCAAAATATATTATTTAGGATTAAACTTACCTCTACCACCAGGTTGACTTTCCCAAACAATAGGTGTAGGTCGAGTACCACGTGTTGTCCTGAATGGCGATCTTGCTGACCGTCGTGCCGTAGCACCTCTAGTACCATTTGCTGCAGCTGCAGCATTAGCTGCCGCTGCCATAGCCCTCTGACGAGTATTGCTAGATGGAGACGCTTCTGCTTCACGACTTTCTTCTACTTCATCTTCTACTATATCACTTCCAGGTTCTTCAGTTCCTTCGCCGGTATCTACTGCATCATCATCTCCAGAAACTAAAGGACCAGCTTCTTCTGTACGCTTTTCACCTTCTGAACTCATACCTACGTGTAATTTCATATGCAGTTACTTAAATTATTACCGATATTAACACAGGCTATCTTACGCATTCCAAGAAGTCGCTCTAATTACTAATTTATTGCAAATTTTTATTTAATCTTTTCTTGTTTAGTATTCACCCGATAACATACTCTCAAGATGCATTGCTTATAAATATTAGGTATTGCTGACAAAATTATCACCTAGGTTCAAGGCTTGTGTATATGTATTTCACTTCCAAACAATGAATGAAAGTTGTATTAATACGTTTTCCACATTTTAGACAAATATTAACATGTATTGTTGTAATTACCTTCAGACGGAGTTGTACTAATAGATTCTGTTATTATTTCAGTTTGATTATGTTGTTGGTCATCAGCACCAAGTACACGAATACTTGGTATTGCAGGCTCTTCACTAGTGTCACTAACAGTGGTACCCGTTACCGACACTGGTGTTACTGAAACGGGGGTTTCTTGTTCTTCTGGTGGTCCACTACTTGTCTAAAAGTAAATAATTTGATTAAATGATAGTTTGAGTAATATGATATTCTGTAAAAACATTTAATTATTTTTATACCGAAGGCGGTAAATCAGCTGCTGGCGAAACTTGTAAAGGAGTAGTAGGTACACTACGACCCGTACCACCATCCTCTAATTGTGCAAGATCCATTCGTGTATCATCCATACTTTCTTGAATTGCTTGTGCTACACCAGAGCTAGATGATCCAAATATTGTTCTAGTCGTTGATCCAGAAGGAGTTGATAACGAGGGCGTGGATGATGCTGTTGTTGGTGCTGACGAATCTCCGAAAGTAAAACGTCCTTGAGGTACTTGAGGTGAACTTACAGCTTCTCCAAATCCATCCCCTCTGCGTGGTACGAACAATGTTGGAGTACTTGGTACTATACTATCATCACCACCATCCTCATATCCTTGTTGCGGCTAAAATTCATTTCATTAAAGAAAGATACTTCTTCTTAAACTTTTTTTTATAGAAATGGAAATACATACCAAAAGAAGATGTTGTTGTTGTTGTTGTCTAGGCATCGGTGCAATTCCACGTGACGATCGAGTTGCAAATGATGTAGGTGGTTCTCCTGTTGGGCCAGCGCTACTAATTGCTTCCGACTGTTGTTGTTGTTGATTCGTAGGTACTGTTATCTGTGCCTGTCTTGGAACTTCTACACTCGTAGAATCTTCTCCCATTATAATTTCAACTTCGTTATTGTCCCTTTCTACCTCTACTTCTACTTCATAAGGCATTTCTTCTTCCTCTTCTATTTCTTCATATGGATCGTTGTCAAATTCTTCTTCTTCCTGTGTTTGATGATTTCCGCCTCCTTCGCCTTCGTCACAATCTACTACAACAACACATCCTTCTTCTACCTCTTCATCTTGGTCTCGCTGACTTGATGTTGGTACCTAAAAATTCAATAAATATATCACACTTTAAATATGTAATTACTGTTTAGTGTCTTTTGTATTTTCATTATTTAAATTCACCTGGTACTCGACCTCTGAAGCACTTGCACTGGCAGTAGATGGCATTTCTTGCCTGGTCCGTTTAGTTTTTGGACTAAGCACTTGTTCCTGTCTACTATGATCGACGCCTTCAATAATTCCAGATCCTGATGCTGTTGAGTCAAGAGCCCTAGCACGTTTGTGTCCTGTTGAAGCTTGTGATGTGCTTACAGACTGAGTAGAACTACTAGCTACAGTCTGCTGTTGATCACTCACTGCTGCTTGCTGTTGCTGTTGTTGTTGCTCCACCCTTGGGCTAACTAGTGCAACAGTCTGTTGTTGTTGTTGCTGTTGTTGTTGTTGACATTGTTGTTGCTGGGCACTAAGCGTTTCTGCACTTTCTGGATCTTCTCTCTGTGTTGATTCTGCTGATTCACTTAATTGTGGTTGTACGACGAGTTGTCGCAAAGTACTTGGTGCTGTCTGTGATGAGCTACTACTAGTGCTAGCGGGTTGAAAATCTGAAAGGCTACTAGTCGGTGAACTCGTTTCAGTAGTATGAACCACTTGTTGTTGCGGTTGTTGCTGTTGGTGAGGTGCAACCATTACTGGTGCACTTGCAGTTGTGGGTAAAACAGCAGCAGTTCTAGATTGTACTACTACACTCATAGGACGAATACTCGCTAACGGAGTTTCGGCACGAGCAGACATAGGTTTAATATTAGCTGTTGGTGGTTCTGTAGTAGCACTAATTCCACTAACACCGGCTAATTGACGTTGTAATTGGGTAACTCTTTGTACTAAAGTTTCTTTTTCTGCCTGAATTTCTGATTTTTCATGTTCTAAACGAGAGATTCTACTTTCCATTTGAGATTTCAATGCTGCAAGTCTAGCGTCATGTTCAGCGGTATCTGATTCCGTAGCCCCAGTTTCAAATTTTGTTTTTAAATCAAGTAATTCCTTCTCACAAATTTTCTTTGATTCTGTTAATTGCATGATCTTAGTTCTTGCACCCTTTAATACTTGTTTTGCACGTTCTTCTTTTTCAACGCTTGTTTTATTCATAGTGTCAATTTCTTTCTTTAACGATTCAGCTTCGTTCTGTACGACTATCATTTGGCGAGATAATTCATCAATTTTTGATGATAATTCTAAGTTTGTTTGACGTAATTCTTGCCTGCCTTCTTCGCGTAGTTGATCTTCGCGTTCTTGAGATATATGAGCAACATCTTCATTTCCAGAAGTACCCGTTGACATTCGAGACTCTTCAGATTTACTCTTTTCTTCTTCTACTGTTTTCGCAAGTTCTTCAAACTGCGTCTTATATTTTTTTGCTATTTTTCTTATTTGAATTTCTTTATTCTTTATATCATTCAAAACTGTTTCTTTATCGCCAAGCTCTTTTCTTAGTGTTGCTAAATCCTTAGCTTTAGAAGAAGAATCGGCAAGAGCTTCATTCAAATCTTGACCCAATTTACGTGCTTCTTCAGATGCTTTCTGAACTTCTTCCCCTTGAGTCTGTACTTGTTTTTGAAGTAGTATTAATTGTTCTTCTAATTTAGTTTTTTCTGTTTTCAATTGATTTAATTCTTCTGCGCGTTTAGCGTGTGTTTCGCGTTCAGATGTGAGCAGTTTACTAAGATTTTCTCGTTCGGTTTGCAATCTACGCCAATCTTCCGGACTTGTTTTGTTAGCCCTTTCTACTAATGCATTAGCCCTTTGTCTCCATCTAGTTGCCTCTCCTTTAAGACTTGTATTTTCTTGTAACAAAGCTTCAGTCTTTGCTTGTAAATCTCTTGATGTGTCTCGAAGTGGTACTACTTCTTGAGAAAGTGCTGCAACTTTTGCTGTAAGTTCTGAAACTTTTGCAGTTAAACTGTCTCTTTCTTCTCTTAAAATTCTGTTAGAATCTGTGATAGCATTCAATGTTTCAACCTTTCGTAACAATTCCGCATGTTTGGAAGTTGTTACTACATCAATTTCAGATTTTTCTCTTTCTGAATTAAGAGTAGCTTCTGTTTCCTTTAATCTTTTTTCTATAACCTAAATTAATAAAAGAAATTAACAATTACATTATAATAGAAAGTTATACAAATAAAAATTTTAATGACAGAATAGGATACTAACTTCCACTTGTGACTTTAACCTAAGATTTTCTGCTCTTAAAACATCGAATTTTACTACGGCTAAATCTTTTTCACGTCTTAGATACTTCATTACTTTCAATAATTGTTCAGCAGATTTGGAATCATCTTCAAGTCCACTAAAACTACGGTTCATTGCTTCTAAGCTAGTGTCAGGACTTTCCTGTTCATTTATCCTTGATTGTTGACTATGCATGATTGCAGTCTTATCACTTAATTCTTGAATTTGATTGTGCAAAATAGCATTTTGTGCATCCAAATCTGCTAATCTTTGTCGCATTTCTTGAATCTCTTCAAATAACTTTTTTTCTCTTTCTTGAAAAGCTACTCTCTCAAGTTTTAAAGCTTCTGCAGCTGCATTTCTTTCTTGAGTTAAACTTTCTACCTTTTGTTTTACTGTTTGTGCATCCTCTTTCAATTTTGCTAGTATCTATAAATAATACATTGATGTAAGTTAACTCACTATGTTCTTTTATTAAATTAACTTATTATTTATTTATATAGATGAAATGATTGTGTTTACCTGTAAATTTGTTAAATGCAATACCATTTCTCTGGCATACTTTTCTTCAGCTTCTTTAACTGTTACTGAAGCATTATGCAAATCACTTTTAGCAATTTCTAATTCTCCTTTAACTTCATCTAATTCTTCAAGCTTTCTCTCTGCATCAGCTAATTTTTCCCTTAATTCTGAGTCAGTTTCTTGTCGCCCATTAGAAACTTTTGCTAATTCTTCTACTAGTTCTTGAACTTTCTTTTGAAGAGCCATTATTTCTACGCGTGCTTCTTTTAAAGCAGTTTCTAGTTCTTCTTTACATTTATTATGTTGTGCTGTTAGTTCTCTTAATTGAGTTTCTGCACTTTCTGCTATATCGCAATATTGTTGACTTTGCTGCCGCGAAGCTTTTAATTGCTCTGACAAAGATTTTGCTTCTGCTTGGGTTGTTGCAAGTTGCATTTCAAGTTCTTTTAATCTCTTTACGAGATTTTCATCACCTGCAAGTTTAAATAGGTACAGAAATTTATTTATAATCAGTCTTTATTATGTAAAAAAATGTAGCTTTAAATTTTACACGTACCAGTGAAAGGTTTTGATATTGAATGAGTAACAGCTTGTTTTAGTTTAGCATTGAGTTCATCGATACGTTGCGTATTTTGAGAATCAGATTGACGAACGTGTTCCAGTTCTGCGCGAATTTGTTCAGTTATATTGCGCTCTT